CCCCCGCTTGTTAACATATAGCAGTTCAAACGTTTTATCTTTGTAACTATGCAATAATTGTTCTGTAATACAACAATAGTCGAAAAGTGTTTTTATCTTTAGAATATATATGGTCTCGTCAAAGAATATTGTATTTTTTATTCAAATTCAACAGTACATGGCAGTGACTGTATAGAAGAATTAGTCATCGAACAAGGTGAACAAGTAACTATTTCGAGCCCGAACTATCCGAACGACTATCCGAACAACTTACACTGCATATGGAGAGTAACTAACCGTGATGGCCGCCAATTAAAAGTGACGCCTGTCGAAATGAACACCGAATGTGGCTACGATATGGTCAACTTGGGTCACGGTAGCGATCCGGATGACGACGAAACGTTATTGTTACACGATTCTGGGTCCACCACTCTACCGATATTCGTTGTCGAAGACAATGAAATGTGGCTGACATTTGATTCAAACCAGTTTTCATCAGATCGAGGGTTTTCATTTGTGATCGACGATGTGCCCGGATCTACAATTTCGGGTAACTACACACTAAGCATTACATTTGTAATTTCTATTGTATTTAATAACTGTAACTATTTAATTTACACTGAATATGTCATCATATTTACACTTGTGTAGAACTTCTATATTTTAATAGCAAATGTGTTGCTAATGGTGCAATTGTGTACTAACCCACCGTTTTATTTTGAAAGGAGTGAATGAATGCGAGAGCGGACCTTGTCGTAACGAGGGCACCTGTGTCGATGCTGTGGATATGTATGTGTGTATTTGTCCACCAGGATATCAGGGAGTTAATTGTCAACTTAGTGAGTTTTTACATTTCTATTAAAACTAAACGATGAATGTTTTGTTTGATCAACTCATAAATACATTGCGACTATCGGCTTATGTGGGTACGATAACAAGGAATGGCCTAAGTATGGCCTTCGAAATTATGTGATATCTTGTTTTTACTACAGCTACGGCGGTGACCGTATGTGGCAGTCATTTCTGTTACAATGGTGGTACGTGTGTCCAAGACCACAATGGTGAAATCTTCTTATGTGTGTGTCAAGGCGGTTGGACAGGCAGTTACTGTGAAGAAGGTAAGTTCGTGGATCCATCATTTATACCCGACAAATAGAAGTTGGCTGCAGAAAAAGATTACGTGAACTTCCACGATCTGACCTTATTAACCTTCCTGAGTGAAAGGTTTTAATATACATGTAGAATTGAAATAAAGCAAGTACAAATTGGGCAATCCTAAACTTGTCTGTGCGATTTTCCTACAGAGATAAACCAAAACTTGGAGGTCATTTTGAACTAAAAATTGGCAAAATGCATACAATTGAAATTTATAATTAAAAAACTAGTTCAATTTTTAAAACCGTAGTTTAGTATGTTTCAGAAAACTCATGGCAATGGCAATGTTTTGCTCTGTGTTTCTAGGGGTGAATGAATGCGAAAGTAGTCCATGTGAGAACAATGGAGTATGTGTAGACGACGTAAACAGGTTTCATTGTATATGCGAAGACGGATGGAAAGGCGAGACATGTGCCGAGACTGGAGGTAACGTACATTTAATTTAATCTGATTGGCGCCATCTTTTTTATTCAGTTACTTGTCACCATTACCGATGCGTGAAAGCCACATGTTACACTATTAATCACACGATTCATTTCATAGCATGGGACACAATGACACAGCTGCCAACACTGTTTTCCTGGTTCTTTTATTGTTGATTGCATCGCTGAAAAATCTGAAAAAAAATTTACTTCATATACGCACTCAACTTAAGCTCGTCCACATATTCATGAATTGTGCAATATTTCGTTTTATACCCTAAATCGATGGGCGGGGGGGGGGGAATTATTGCTTAAACATGCTTGACTACAAAGCGACCAACACTGATAGGGTTGTAGGAACAGAATGTTTTCATTGGATTTAGACTTTCGATGTTTGTCAATGATAGTTTTGAATCTGGAGTCGCACAATAGCAAGGGGTTAAACAGTATAATATGGTGTTGATTTAATATTGCAAAAAATCTCCACAGCCAAAACAATAGAAACACGGGCATATCAGAGTTATTTACATGATAAATCGATGTATATTACAGAAATGAATTTAAAAAGAAAAATGGTTTACTATTTATAATGATGAATGGTGTTTCACAATAATGTTGCCTCACACAGTGTAAATAACCTTCCAGTATATTATATCATATATTTGTTAGGAAAGTTGGATTAGCCAGCGATTAGAAGTTGTTTTCGTATCTGTTGGGTTGTTTTGAGTTATTATTATTTCGAATTATATTGTGCTTTATCTTAGTATATTCGTTGTTAAAATTGAGTTGTTCGCGGTGTGTATAGTGTGTAGTACTGTGTTGGTAGACGATGGTAATCATCGCTTATACTTAATTTTGAAGAGTATTTAAATATTTCCTTAACGGCGACTTCCAATTATGTATAATCTACATAATTTAATCAGTGTTTTAGTGTTTGTTTTTCTTGGTAGCGAATATCTAAAACGGTTCCGGTACAAATATAATTTCTCTTTTTTTAATGCGTACAGCCATCACAGGTGACGAACCAGACGATTCTTCATCACTGGAATGGTATTGGATTCTCTTGATAAGCGTATTCAGCGCACTCGCGGTTGCCGTTGGAGGTTATCTAGCATACAAACATTTCCAAGATGCGTAAGTAAATTCATTTTTACCACCGTTGTGATTTTTATTTGATCAAAGGCCGCAATTGAATCCGGTTTTAAAGCAAAGTCTGTTGGCTGTTTAGTCAGTCATCCGTAATTTAGTTATCCGTAATTTAAACTGCTCTCTTGTGAACCAATGAAATCTCCAAATATATGCATCAAATACATATATAGATATATTACAGAATATTACACTTATCTTTCTGTATTATGTTTTTCACTAAATGTCTATCTTGATTAATGATTCAAATGTTTTCGGCAGATGTGCGCTTATAAGCGATCCTCGTATAGAACAGGGCGCTCACTTCTTTCCAAACACCTATCATCGCCGCTTTGTCTTGCAATCTACACAATGTGTGCTTGCTGGCTATTGATTTGTGTTCTTGAACCTCCCGTTAAAAACGATTTAATATAATTAAAGTTATTTTATTTTATTTTATGTTATCTTATAGAGTGCCAATTTATGTTGTTTTGTGTATGCGTATAGAGATGAAGCCCAATAATTCAGGAAACACAAGATCCCTGTGTTGTCACGTATATCTCGTCTATTGAAATGCTCTCTATCTTGTTCTCTAATTATTCAATTTACAGTAAAAGAGAAAGAAACTCCAACATACGGGAAGCTGCTCTGCTGAGATCTTCAAAAATGACCAATGGGGAAACAGCATCGCTAGAAAACCATTATGGCTTTACACCAATAGATGACTCCAGGTAAAAAAAAAAGTGTGTGAAGAGCGACATCAACGTGCACAATGTCAATCGAGTAACATTATTCGTTTTTTTGGGAGGCACTATTTCGACGTATCCACTATACGCTATATGTTTGGTTATAATGTATACAATGCATTTGCTTCACAGCAGCAGCTCGATGAGGACTGTCCGAGAGGTCAACAGTTACGATCAACCGTGGCCAAAAAGTGCCGACGAATTTGTGGATACTAGGACGGAAATTTAAGAATATGTGTAATCAGTATTGAAAACTCTAATTCTGTATATTTATCGATTATTTATTTATCTAGTATGTAAATACAACAGAATTATTGAGTAGAAAGAAATCTCATCGTTTCGAATAGAAATATGCCAGTTTTAGTAACATTTTCACTAGAATGTATACGGTATGCATATATTCCTAACATCATTGTTTAATTGGTTATAGTTTTTGTTATAACATTCTAATTATAAAGTGTTTCTGTAAAGAATGATTTACGTTTATATGTATTTTCTAACTATGTTGAAATCAACGCTGGCGATCACATCGGAAATATGATATATTCAACAATAATAATCTGCAGGTTTATGTGCAAGTGTCTGTTCGGTTCGGTTACGTAGGTTTGTTTTAACTTGGTTGCGAACAAAAAAATGATACTTCAGACAGAGAACGATCGAGCTTGTTTTTGCCCAAAAATGGCGTTCCTGTCTCACCTGTCATTGTGTCCACGGTTACAAATATTACGGTTACGTAGATCAGGGGTACTGCGGGCGCAATGTGGGTGAGAATGATACACTAATTTTAGAGGCTAAGTCTCGTGGTTTTCTCGCGCTTTCATACTAATCTCGTCGGTCGTTCGAATCTATTTTTATATTGCACCAGCTAAGAGCAAGACTGAATAATATGGCGGGGTGAAGCCGTACTCGGACAAATATATAACGTGACGCCAAATTCCGCAACTGGTTTATTATATAGCGTGTCACGTTTACACGAGGTGTTTCGACTACGTGCTTTCGATGATGGCGTTGTGTTAAAAGCTTTGCCTCGTCACTACTCTTTGTGAATTGTAATTATAAACATTGGAGAATAGCGCCATCAACGATCTCTAACTGAATTGTCATTTAATATTCATTGTGCGTCTTGAATTGAAGGCTCATTCTTGCCTCGTAAGTGGTGAATACATCTGCTAGTGCTCATCTAAATAGTACTCTCGTTGCTAAGTTCATAGGCGGGTGACCACACAACAATGTCGACACTGCAAAAGCTTTGACTTCACAGACGCGCTTCCTAACTTGAGAGCGTAACTTGTAGATTGTTTTGTGTTTTCTCGATGACCTTCATTGGATTTGCACACAACCTACAGTAAACAAGGATGCATTGTCAGGAACGTTTTTGTCGAAATGTTTTATAACTATTAAACCACTATTTAATGAGTAACATATTTCACAAAGATCGCGATGTATGTGACAATTTAAATTTATATTTTATTGCCATGTGTTATTTTACAGTTTAATTATTATTATTCAGATTGTAATAATGTTGTTGTTTTTGCCACGTATTTATTCTAAACCTTGAATTTCGAATATTTATCATGCAAACATTTTGTATTGTTTCAATAATGATCCGATTTATGGTTAAAAAAGGATATATGGAAAACTGTATTTTGTCGGTTGTTTGTTTTTATCTATTTAAATGTTTATTTTTAGCTTGTCGATGTTTTTTCTGGTGCGTACTACTAGTAAACCAGAAACCACTAATCGTATCGCATTCGACAATGAAGCAATAGCGTCCTAGTATACAAACACAAATGTACGACTAATAATGTACATACATTCATGTAACATCTAAACCAGTTATGGTGGAGAAAATGTCAATCTTTATTCAAAAACTGTCATTTTTTTAACACAGGTTTTGTCCTATTTAGAAAGAAAGCGCTTATTTACCCTAAATCTTCTATACTTGCACAGGTGGTTCCTACGAGAGAACTGAACTAAAATGTCTTGGGACTAGGTCTAAACGTCACTGACTATGAGAATTCGATCACGTGATTTTACGTACTTGGGTTCGTCTGGGTCCCTGAAATCGGGAATGCGAACAGCAAAACAGCAGTTTTCTTATGGTTTTGCGCATGATCGAGGCCACATGCAGTATAAAATCATGTTACATCGCCAAAGGACTCTTGAAGAACAAACGTTCTCTTGAGGTGCTTTTTTTTGTTTTGTGATCCGTCAGGGATAAAACCGAAAGACGTCTGAAATGTTTCGTGTTTGTTTGTCTCACAATACGATATGTAACCAGTGATACAGTCTGTGTATAGATTAGTCAATTTGCCTAGGGTCCCATCAAAGTTTGTGACATATGCCGAAGACACAGGCGCCTTATCAGCACGACACAAACCAACCTTAGAAAGATCGAGTATCCCGTTGTTGAATTGAGGAGACCACTTGGGACGAAAATCTTTACAAAATTGAACCTCGTGTTAGGCTAGACAGACATTCATCTACTTGTTGACAGTTTAGTCATTCCTAGAATAGCCTTAGTTACGTTTATTCACAATAACATGCAACTCGGACATGTTTATGTCGCTGTAGGTATGTCGGTCATTAAATGGATGTGTTTTTACCGAACAGACAAATGAAAGTATGTATAATAAAATATAATACGTGGAGCTTTTTTTAATAATACTTAGTTTCAACAAATTAAGAATTTAATACTAGATCTTACACTATCAGCTGTAGTTATGAAGGCATCCACGTATATACAAATATAATTATATTATAAATATAAAAATCATCACCAATCAGTGGTTTTGCAATATTTATCCTCAAACATTATCTCATATAATTTGATATTTGAATATGCGCATATTGTTGACCATAAAAGATATGAACGACTGCCGCTCGTGGAATAATATTATAATTTGAACAAATCAGTATACTCAGTTTCTTTTCCGAAAAAGATATATTCAGTAGTTGTTGACGAAATGGATAATGTACATGGCACTGCTCATATATCACATTCAGTCAGCTGCAATGTGTGCCGAGCGTTGAAAACGTGCTTGGAAAACATTACAAATACACTCGATCAAATCACTGTTTTCAGCATCAGTATACATTGGAATTGCTTCAACAAATTCGGACTATTCTACATTTTTGGTCACTGTCTGTAAAGTTTTGGGTCATAAATTTATTTACCTTTTTCACTTTAATAAATACTATTGTACTGGGCTTGATTTTCCTGGCCGGAACATGTTTTCATATATTGAGTAAATATGTCATTTATAGTTTGTATTGAGAATAAACCGCTTGAATTGCAGTCAATTGAGCTAAGATGAGTGTTTTGCTTATTCACTTGGTCTCCTAGAGCTATAGATACAGATTAGAGTTAGATTACAGGGTTCAATGTAAGATAAAAAATTATGTTCGAGGATAATAAACTGTGACATTTGTCATTGTAAGTGAACCTTGTTAATTAGTTTGCTGCGGTAGAGTAATTAGTTTTAGTGATGAATTGCGCCCGCATTCTAAGTCGAGGCAATCTGGCATGGCATATTTCGAGGGTTGAATTCTGCGACTTTCATTTAATGTTTGTTAATTTATTCATGCATTATTTGCGTGAGGTACATAATCCCAGATGAAATATGAAAACATCCATTTCCAGTCACAATGGAAACGGCTGTGTGAATATGGTGTTCTACATTAATAAATCGGACAACGACACGCGCTGTTTACATAATGAACATAATGATATTTGTTAATTTGATGTAAAACATACTGTAGAACACTTTGAAATAGCTGCCTGCAATTTTTGCGGATATGACTTATGGCATGAATTAACAGAATCTTAATTTAGCTAAAGTATCGACTATCTCATTGTGAGAATATACTTTATGTTAAATTAGCTGCACCTTGAATTAGCGAAATTACAGATTAGCTAAATTAGCTAAAAAGACATGTTTTACAGTATATGAAACACAAGCATTATTGTATGCGTAAAACCATCTGAATGAAATAATCACTAAGAACTAAACATACGCCGCACAATAACACTGGTTATCCCACTGACAGTTTTTTTGTTATTGTATCATTCATGTTATGTAGGCATTGATTGTATGCATAGTATGCGTGCGTGTACTAGATACTGAACTGGGTCAAATACTAACGATGGGCCATACATGCTGGATAACAAAGTAGATTTGAAGGCAACGTTGTAATATATGTCATTGGGAAAGATATGTTCCAATAGTACAGTAGCCGTACATTACCATGGTGTTCTATATTTAATGGAGCGAATGAATATTACATTACACCGAGACATATAAACTGTGAAACTCAATCAGTTCTTTACATTGCGTGCGATGAATAACGCCAGCTTTAATGAGTCCCGACTATTTTTAATAGGCTGTTGAATTGTTAATGGCGGAAAACAAATACAAGTGACCATTAACAAATGCTAGACTCGCCGCTTGATTGGTTTTCTGTATATCTTCATTAACTTCTTTATCTGCCTATTATACAACCTAAAACACTGGTTTTAAAGTGACCATGGCAACAATTGTGTGCGACCATGTTCATACATTAATTTTTCCACAATGATATTTGTGTTACATGTCATCTTCTATGTCCGGGTCACGTGATTAATTTGCACTTTTAGTCATATCACATTAACTTAGTGTATGGCTGCTAACATCTTTTTTTGATGCACACTTTAAAAACTAATTACAAAGTACAATTAAATAATATAACCCTTCTACCTGTTGAATATATAATAAATATATTACATGGCATCCTATAAATACCATATAAATATTTCAATTTTCAACTCAATTTTACATTGAGCAACAGCCGTCTTCGGCAAAATCAATTCACCCTTTTTTCATTTATTAGAAGACGGTATCTCGGCTGCATTCCATGTTATTGTCAATTAATATCTCAGTTCGAACAGTTGTCATGGAAAAGTTAGTCATTTGCTGAGATGGCATGCACAGAGGCGGACAATTATATAATTATTATGACCTTGAAACAACATTCATATAAACACACACAATGATTAGATTAATACTGGTGATATGGGTCAATCACTGTGTTATTAACATTCCATTACATTATTAGTATAATAATATGCATCGATTGAACTAAGCTAAACAACGAATGTTTTTGGCATATCTAACTCGGTTACGTTACTCCTGCCATTCACACCTATTATTAATATAATTCATTTTGATTACATCCGCCACCACTTTTGCA